ACACCAGCACCAGCCCTCACCTCCCCACTCACCAGTACTAGCCCTCACCTCCCCACACACCAGTACCAGTCCTCACCTCCCCACTCACCAGTACTAGCCCTCACTTCCCCCACTCACCAGTAACAGCCTTCACCTCCCCACTAACCAGTACCAGCCCTCACCTCCCCACTCACCAGCACTAGCTCTCATCTCCCCACTAGCCAGTACCAACCATCAAATCCCCACTCACCAGTACCAGCCCTCGCCTCCCCACACAATAGTACCAGCCCTAACCTCCCCACACTCCAGTACCAGCCCTCACCTCCGCACACACCAGTACCAGCCTTCACCTCACCACTCACCAGTACTAGCCCTCACCTCCCCACACACCAGTACCAGTCCTCACCTCCCACACACCAGTACCAGCCCTCACCTCCCCTCACACCAGTACCAACCCTCACCTCCCCACACACCAGTACCAACCCTCACCTCCCCACTCACCAGTACCAGCCCTCGCCTCCCCACACACCAGTACCAGCCCTCACTTCCCCACACACCAGTACCAGCCCTCACTTCCCCACACAATAGTACCAGCCCTAACCTCCCCACACACCAGTACCAGTCCTCATATCCTCACTCACCAGTACCATCCTACCAACCATCAAATTCCCACACATCAGTACCAGCCCTCACCTCCCCACACACCAGTACCAGCCCTCACCTTCACCAGTACCAGCCCTCACTTCCCCACACAATAGTACCAGCCCTAACCTCCCCACACACCAGTACCAGTCCTCATATCCTCACTCACCAGTACCAGCCCTCACCTCCCCACTCACAAGTACCAGCCCTCACCTCCCCACACACCAGTACCAGCCCTCACCTCCCCACACACCAGTACCAGTCTTCACCTCCCCACATTCCAGTACCAGCCCTCACCTCCCAACACACCAGTACCAACCCTCACCTCCCCACTCACCAGTACCAGCCGTCAGTAGTGTAAACCGGGCCTACGACCGGCAATTTTTATTTTTCCCCATGCCGGTCGTAGGCCCCTGGGTTTTACGAACTTTTTCACCAAGCCGGTAGTAGGCCCCGGGGTTTTCTCATTTTTTTTCCATAGCCGGTCGTAGGCCCCTGCCATTTTCGCTCAAGGGGATTAAACTGCCGCCTCCAGTCATCCCAAAATTTTGTTAGCTCAGTGACCCTGCACAGGTACGTTAAAGGGGATTAAAAAGCCGGTCATAGGCCTCAGGGTTTTCTTGAATTTTCTTTTATGGCTGGTCGTAGGCCCCAAGGTTTTCTCGATTTTTTTTCATGGCCGGCTGTAGGTCCCAGGGTTTTCTCGAATTTTCTTTCTTGGCTGGTCGTAGGCCCCTGGGTTTTATGAACTTTTTCCCCATGCCGGTCAAATGCCCCTGGGTTTTCTCGAAAAAATTTTCATGGCCGGTCATTGGCCCCTGGCATTTTCGCTCAAGGGGATTAAACGGCCGTCTCCAGTCATCCCAAAATTTCGTTAGCTCACTGACCCTGCACAGGCACGTTAAAGGGAATTAAAAAGCCGGCCGTAGGCCCCCAGGGTTTTCTCGAATTTTCTTTCATGGCCGGTCATAGTCCCCGAGGTCTTCTCAAATTTTTACACCAAGCCGAACATAGTACCCTGTCATTTAAATCTCCCTTTTACTTCCAATCTATGTTAACCAGAACATCAACTGATGCTATTAGATGATGAACTTCAGTAGGTCTATTATTTCCCTATTAATACTCCCATTTCTTCTCCATTTATAGGCGTCAATAATGTAGCTCTATTAATATTCAGAAGGTCCTATTTATTCCTCTTACTTATCAAGAAGCTTATATTTATAGTGTCTGGCAGAGGATTGTTTATTGAGCATAGGAATGAAATCCATTCATATGAAACAAAGGGGAGCAACACAGTGCAAGAACTAATGTGCATTTTCGAGTTCGCCCCTGTTACCTGTATTTACCCAGGTCTTTTCCTAAATCTAAAACCTATCCAATTTATTCCTGTTCTGTTTCATGTTGATACGTTTAATAGGTTATAAATATCCCCATTTACTATGACCATTCAGTCACACCTCTATCATGTCACCCCAATTTCTTCTTCGTCTTTCTAGGGAATGTAATTCGAGCTTTGACAATCTGTCTTCACAGAATGCTTATTGATCATAGGGCAAATAAAAATGAAAACCCCACTATCATCTATTTGCATGAAAACAGTCCCCTGCCAGGCGTGGTGACTGCAATGCGATTTCAGTACTAATCCAATATTGCTTCATAACGCATAAATATATATATGCACGTACATAAATATATATGCACATCTCACATTCGCTCAAAAAACATGCCTCCCCACACCTTGCTGTAGAAAAGCAAGTCTCTCATGTTTTGAAATAAAACTGCCTTCTTCAGTTACCTTCTTTTCTGACGTCATCATCCCTAATGCGCTGTAAGCCCCCAATGAGCTTCCAGCCAACGTGCTCATGCGGGTCCTATAGGAGGTTCACACATAAGTGCGAACTCTTAATCACTCCCAATACCTCAACTGTACTCTGTGTTTCACCAGAAACGATATTCAGCTACCTTTGCTCGTATTTCTGCTTATGTTTTCTGTTATTCATTTCATAAACCCTATCAAACCCTCTGAATCCATCCTAACCTAACTTATTATATATAACAAACAAATACATTCTACAGACCAGTTGTTGTTGTTTAGTGACATCACGAAAAGTAACCTCAGTATGGGGATAAGGTATTGCTGGCCATTAGCATATAAGTGTCAAGGTATCACAGCACCTGACTGTTCAACTATGTATGACGTCACCAGATAACCAATGCGGCCTTTAGCGTCCTACCTGTACATGTACTGTTTTTGATGTTATTATTAAAAAAAATGGCTAGACTATCCATCTCCACCTAACCTAATCAGAGGTTTAAGAATATACATTGTATAGGTTTTCATTATTTTATTGGTAATAAAAGTTTACATTCTGGTCTTAACAGAAAAATTGTAATGGGGAACAAGCATGATATTTCAGATGTTGGTCATAGCAATCCTAGATCCTGGTAATTTTTGTGAGGGAGACCAGTTCCTCTGCCACATCAAATCTCGAACAATAAATAGAAACCATATGAGCAACACATAATAATAATAATAATAAATCAGCAATAATATGAAAGACAATATATGGCTAACATCTAGAAATATACTTACAGCTCAGTAATATAAGGAGTCATCACACAGCGATAGACATTTATCCTGTCCATCTATGCAAAATGTCTTTTTGCAGTTGGGCATTGCAAAATTAGAATATGCAAATTGAATTATCTTTCTATCGTTCATATTATATTCCCCATATTCAAATAAAGTTTCAAATTTATGTAGTGCAGCTTTCAAGTTAAGGTTGCATAATTGATAGGCAAAAAACATGGCATAGGCTCCACAATAATAGGAGTATATGCTCTGAATGCGTTGTGTGAACATGTAAACTCTATAATCTTCAAAATAAGAGAGGAATTCTTGTAAATAACGTGAATGGAATTCCATCTTCAACCCAAAACTGTCCAACAGGGCGATAATAGCTCCTTAAGGTTGATTGTGTACATACACAGTCATCCAATTACCCATCATCGATGCAGGGGATTTCTCATCTAAAGTATTTAAAATAAATACCACTGGCTCTTTATTTAATTTCTAAAAGGTTCTCTGTACATCGTTCGCTAAATAACATCCGATATTAATGACTTCTTCCCCTAAATATATATTTTTCAACCCATTGTTTATTTCCAAACAATTCATGTTTCTTAGGCTCTCGTTTCACAAATAATACGTCGGTCAGCATTAATTTTCATAATCCCAGTAGTAGGACCAAACAGCAGTATAACTTTATTTCCCACTATGGCTGTATTGAATTCCAATGTAATTCTTATATTCCCTGTCGCTTCCAAGGAAACTGTACCCTCTATTTCTTCTGGTAATAAATTAAAGACCAGCAGAGTTTGTCCTTTAACGAACGATTCGTAGGACAAAATATTATCTACATTAAATCCTACAGCATTCAGGACCGTATAATATAATTTCGAACATTTATGGGGAAATCACACGCTATATTAAATAAACTCGTGTTGTTCACCGAGATATATACGTTGCTCAAGGCGGAATTGTTAAAATATAATGGGTTTAAGGTATAATCTCCAAAAATGGCTTCCATATCAATAATTGCCACGTATAACTTCTCAGGGATCACTCCACCCCAGGGTTGGTCCATAGTTAACGATTTTTGACCCTGACCTAGAATATAGATTTTAAATAGGGTTTTATCAAATATATACGTTACTGCACCATTATTTTGGGCGAGTGCTCTGTTAATAGCTAGTAACCCAGAAGGGAATGGGGTTAATCTATCGATACATAAGCGGGCCATATTTATATTATATTTATAGTCAGCAGTTGCTGTATGACTGCCATAACCCATTTATCACTATTTAACTCCAAACGTATTCTTACATCTACGTTATCCAGTAAATATTCGCTAATAGATGCAATATCCAGCAGTAATTTAAAGCACGTATAAATGCCCTGTTCTTTCATATTAGCCATTTTCTCATCCTGATTTATCGTGGTCGTAGCAAAATACTGCGTATCAATTTTATTGGGTATCGTTAGCGCCTCTTCTTTATAAAAATGCGCTAGATGCTTAAAACCATCAATTTTACTTCTGGAGAGAGTCGTTAGCAGCTTTATATACGCCCAATAAGAAAATAAAGAATTACTTTCAACCACTTGTTCGTTGAAATACACCACCACTGTTTTAAAAGTGTTTGTGATAAACCATTGGCTACAGTCACTTTTTTGCCTGAATCTATTGCGGCGTCAGCTTCTGTTAATTCTATCCCCACTTCTAGGGCTAGGGATGACATATCCAGGAAATGACCAGGAATGCCAGGGATTCTAAATTCTATATACGAGTCCTTAAATTTATTAATTCCAAAATTAACAGGTAAAATATCAATATTTTTCCTGCTAGTTATAGTGGACTCAATCATACGTGCTGAATTAAGTTTGGGAAATCCATCTGTTACAGCCACTGTGTAACTTTCCAAAGGGGATTATAGCCCCGCTCCTAGTGTAGTAGTAGTATTCATGCTGGATGCTATGAGAGGAATGAATTGCAATTTACGCAAACACGTTCTTATATCTCTTATTCTTCTTATTCTGTTTTGTGAAACTGCGAATAAGTGCTAATTTTGTGGCCTTAGCCTTTCTCTTAGACTTTTTCCGCCTTTTACCACCACCTAAAATCTGACGCCCTACTCCCTTTAATGATTCGATCCCATGCTTCTTCATTGACTTTTTAAAGGAATGTTCCCCTGTTTGCATGTCATGCAATACATTCTGACCCATACTTAAGACGGCAGGAGCAAGGGTTCTCATTAAAAATGGCGCTGCTTTACGGGCTAAACCAGTGAGGAAACTGAATATACCACCTCCTCTTATATGACTCCTATTGAATATTCTAATATCACTCAGCCCACCTCCTTTATATGAGGCAGGTGGGCTAATTAAGAATATTTCGTCTACAGACGGAGGGATGAAATTGACGCGCATTTTGTAGCTTGCAGATGAGTAATGAGGCTCGGAACTGTAATGTCCTTATTATATAGACCCAATTTGACGTCGCATATGTAAAACAGCTGTTGTGCTTCCTCGTTTATCAAAATAAATAGGGGTCCCATTAGGATCTGTTACTGCAATACTTATACTCTCCAGTACATTTGTATTTTGAGGTTTATTTAGTTTCCTATTCGTGCTTTCACCGCCCTGCAAAGACACTACGTCCAATATATCCACTAATAAATTCCCGTACATCGTAGGGGCAATTTTATCGCAATAAACACAGGTAATCCATCATGCCCCTGGGTTGTGAAGGGTAGGGACACGTGTCTGATATGGGTGTTTCATCAAAATAATTCTTGTGTACGTATATATCCTAATTTTTATGCTGATCAGATCCCAAAACCTTGCCGATACTCGCCCCAAAAGATAGGGAAATCCTGCATATCGCTCGATTATCGTTGTAATACAATACATTCTCATCGCTGCTCGCAGTATTGGACTTTACCCGATTGGAAATCGAACCATATTTAATATATGCATCTGCATATCTCGGAAAATGCGTCTTATAGACATCAGACACAAAACTCAAATCGTTCTGTGAAAATATATGGGTAATTTCATTATTGATGGCGTATATAATTTCCTTTATGCCACCAGCTACAATATTAGTTTTCGGTAGAAATTTAGAATGTTTGTAACTAATTCCTTTAACATCTAGGTACATAATTCTCACGCGGATATAACTTTCCAGATCATCCGATCTTATTATGTAATATGACGAAGGCAATAATATATGCTGGAGACACATTTCGTAGGAACGTCTAGAATCCAGCACAAGTTGATTATACAGTCTGTTTTCAAAAGCACTAGGTACATTCTTAGGAAATAAATCTGTATTAGAAATACTAGTAGTGTAAATAACGTGGGAATCCATTGCTGGACTAAGAATGAATAAACTAAACACAAAACAGAACATCTATTTATACACTCACCTTTAGTAAGCTAACCATGGTGCTCCTCCGCCAACTTTAGGGCGTTTAGTTTCTCCAGCAGCTGTAGTAGGAGCATACGCCCGTTTTCTTCTTAGTACCACGTCATCATTAAATACTTGTTTACGAGATTCTGTATTCCTAAACATATCTCGTGGAGTTGAGGTTAAAGAGATGAATAATTTAACCAGCGGTAATTTTCTCGTGGGAATACAGAGCGGCGAATCGTCATTTTAGTTAAAATATCATCAATTATGTTTATTCCAGTCACTGGCATTTGCAGATTCCCATTGACGTCCCATTGCACCATCTTGCTTTCATCAAAATAATTCAACAGCAAAGTAGCATAATCATGATCTTTAGTTTTCAATTTTAAATGTACCAAATGTACTATTGAAGGATTAGCTCGTACTGGAACTGGTGCTACTGGAGCAGTTGCTGACAGGACAGGTGTTGGAGCTAGTGATGGCATTACTTCTGCTTTTTTTACTACTGGTACCTTAGCAGGTCCCTCATCGATGGATTTACGAGGTACTAGATAATATTCTTTCATTTTTTATTTATTAAATAGCCTGGAAATTAGACTAGCAGCTATGGGTAATAATATACCGAGGATACTACCTCCTTTTCGAGTCAATAAAATGAGCTTTTTGTTGGAAATTGAGGGTTTCTTGCAAGCCAGCGAATGCAAGGTGTCTCTGTATTTCTTCAATTTCACTAAAACTTTCTTTTTAACCGGAAGCCTATTTTTCAGAAATTTTTTGAAAATCTCTGACAAGCAATGAATATGTGTTTTTTTAAACTGAGCAATCAATTTTTTCCTGGGTGAGGAATTAAGTTTGCTCAGCCAGGTCACCAACTCTCTGTACTTGTATACTAATGGCTTCTTCATATCTTCAACAAATCATCAGCATCAATCCACTGATCAAATGAAGAATCGTAGCCTTCGTTCCTTACTTTATACTGTAATTTATTATTGGGTAATGTACGTTTACGTAGGACCTTCTCAATATTAAATGGTGCTGGTAAATGGGTTAGGGTTAATTCTTCATTATAAAACCCTCCGTCAATAGGCTTGTTATTCAAATCTTGTAAAAAATATAATGGGATAGGCTGGCTTTTATCTATACAAATAATTCTGAAAATTTCTTTCGTGTTTTGTCTAGCAAAATCTTTCTTGAATGTCGAAATTCTGTTGGAGAGAGTAATGCGAACTGTGTCTTCCACAGCTAGTAGGAAACTAAGACCCGCTTTAGGTTTGTCCTTACTTTTATACATGAGATTGAACTGTTTCTTTATATCTTGTGGACGAGATAAAGCATGAACGTCAACTGGAGTCCGACCACCTAACCCTCGGTGGGGTGTTGTGTTATACGCCTTTATGCTATCAGGCAATATAGGCAGATATCTCGAGGTATTGTGCGCAGTCATATATTTATAAATCTTAGTTTTCATGGTACGTATAAAGCGTTCGGCGATAGCGGCTTTTGTTTCTTGAGAAAATATGCTATACAATTTAATATTTATAGCTGCAAGCATTCGTTGCATATGAGAATTATAAAATTCACCCCCCCCCTCGACCTGTATTAATTTACGTATTCCTTGGAAATATGAGGATTCCAATATGTTTTTCAGAGCTTTACTCACAGTCTGCCCGTCTTTGCGTTTCAGAGGTACTACTTGCGCATACCGTGAAAAAATATCGACACAGATGAGAATGTATTTAATATCATCATTATGTTTAGCTAATAATCCCATTTCTGCTAAATCACAAGCTAAATATATACGGGGTTTGGGGCTCAGTACCTTTCGTTCTTTCGGGTAGGGCTGAAATTTGCGAGGTTTTAATGCATGCAAAGTGTAGGCTTTAGACGACTTCAAATATTCTTTGACATCTGATAAAGTTATATCTGGCTTTATGGTTTTAGCTGCTTTATACAACCTATCAACCCCCCCTAACCCTCCTGAGGATGCGGGGTTATAATAAATTTTATCTAGTACGTGCTCCATCTTCTAATAAAGTGATATCGGATTGTATGGTTTTAGTTGTTTTATACATCCTATACACCCCACCCCAAACCTCCCCTTGTGGTTGTTGTTTTCATCTAGTACGTTCACCATTGGTATACAGTTTCGTATGGTTGCTCACCAACAATATTGCTACGGAAGGTGATGCGTTCAGGGGTTTTTACTCCAAAATCCACCAATAAATACTCATAAGGTTTACTAATGGCTTTCTTGTAGATATCTAAAAGCTTTTTAGAATCTTGTTTTCCAAATAACTGCCGCCCTAAAGTCTCAATTTGAGCTATATCTCTAGATTTCACTAATATGAATTGGAGGCATTTAAACTGATACTTCTAGCATATTTCCCAGAGAAAAATATATTTTGGGTAATTAATATACACGAAATAGCGAGATGTCTGCCTTTAGTGAAGATATCAGACACAATTTTGGAATTGGCAGATTCGATGAACAAGTCATCAATAATGATTAAAATAGGTGAATCGTCTGTACGTTCATCTAAAGGGTTAATAATTTCAGGATGAGCTATTATTTTCTAGTTAATTACTGGATCGTCCAGCAATGCTTTGTAACTGCCCCCACATATAAAAATACTGGAGAATTTCAGATGGTATTTTTGTACGAGTTTAGTGCACAAATGAGATTTTCCGCCATTGGAAAAGTCTGCAATGATTATTCTGCTAGGTTCATTGAAAATATCGAGTTGTTCTTCAGTGATAGGTGAACTATCCATGACTCGTGTTGGGTTTGTACTGACATAAGTATGAAAAGGACATTATATTTAAACATGAGAGGTTTCATAGAAACATCAAAGTATACATTTCATATTTTTTTATATTTTGGCATAGGACATTTTCAAAACATAGGTTAGGGGGTAGGGCTTATAAAAACATCAGAGTATACATTTCACAATTTTTATTTTTTATATAGAACAGAACATTTTCAACATAGGTTAAGGGAGACTGCATTTTCAGAACATCAGTGATGAGTCAGGGGCCCCCGCATTTTTTCAAACATCAATGATAGGTTACTGGAGGTAGCAATTTTAAAACACAAATATAGATTAGGGGAGGTTGCAAATTTTCTATCAACAATTTCTTCAGTCACTAATTGTGAGAATACGTCTTGTTCACCAGTGCATCGCGTTTTCCCCACATATTGTATATGGGGTGAAATCCACGTCTTGCAGGACGTGCAGCAGGTGCAGGTACATCCTCCTCCTCTTCATTCTCTTCTTCATGTATTTCTGCTCGAGGTATATCGGGGTGTCCATACGCCAACGACTGTGTAGGACTCAGTACATAACGTTTATCGTCAAAGGCGGACAATCCACGTTTTGTAGTGAGACAGGTAAACATACGGCCTTTAACATTCCTAATAGATCTGGAGTGGAACCGCTGCCCAATATTTAACTCTAAAGCACTTTGGAAAGCTGCATGAGTGAGTTTAGATTGATGATAAGTG